TACTGATCATGTGCCTAGAGTGAATTTCTTGATTGGACAGTATGTATGCTGATACTGGTAGAATTAGGGATATTGAGTTGTGTATCAGGAATAAAATATTCATTATGTGGATTTTTGGGGGGCTCTGGATAACACTGTAGCCTCCAGAGTGGACTAAGTAGGAAAAATGTAGGGATGGTTTCCTGTTTGTTTTTGCATCTAATATTCATTTGTTTGCCATTTGATCTCCTTCAGGTTTTACTTGTTGTATATGCATATATATAAAATCACAGTTGTTGTTGTTGTTGTTGTTGTTGTTTTAGTTCTTAGTGGAAGGCTTTTATTTGTTTCTGTGAATAGTTATTTTTGTTTCCTGTGAATTTCCAGCAAGTCATCATGTGTTCTATTTATCTGGAATTCCTAGGCTACCTATTTCAGGCCTGCAGGAATTGATGGAACACACCAGCCACTTGAAATTTGGTTGGTTTTGCTTGCCTCTGATAATCTAGACAGCAAAGGCTCTTGCTTCAAATGCAAGAAAAATGAGAATTGGATAAAGGACTGTAGAAAGCCCTTGCCAGTCCCCTACCAAAAATGTGAGGGCACTAGTTATGACCCCTGGCACTGGAAGACTGACTGGTCCTGCTCTCACCTAGGGGTTCAGTTAGGCAAAACTCTAGCAGTCCAAAAAGAAAAATCAGATGAAGACTGAAGGGGCCCGGGGTCTTCCTCAACACCACTGTTCAGGAACATCATAATTACTACTCAGGAGCCCCAGGTAACTGGATGTCATGGGCATCCAAGTTCAGTTTCTCTTCTACACAAATTCAGTTTCTTTCCTTGCTGCTTATGTTGGAAAACTTTCCTCCCAAGCCACAAGCATTATGGAAATAGAAGGAAAGCCATAAATAAGATCCTTTACTCCTCCTTTCATTTGTCAATTTGAGAAACAAATCTTCCAACAGGAATTTCTATTAGTACCAAGCTGTCTAGTCCTGCTGTTGAAAAGAGATATACGTACTAATATGTGGTTAAAATAGGGTCACTACTACAATTTAAGCATCATCTGGTGATACTGCTAATAGTCAAAAATACAGACAATGTCCCAGACATATTAATAAACAGGTTAACCCACTGTCATGGTATACTGGAAAACCAGGACAGGCTAAAACAGCAATGCCAGTCAAAATACAGCTTAAAGATCCCCAGCTATTTATTTTCCCAATCAAAAACAATACCTATAGGCCGGGCGCGGTGGCTCAAGCCTGTAATCCCAGCACTTTGGGAGGCCGAGGCGGGTGGATCAAGAGGTCAAGAGATCAAGACCATCCTGGTCAACATGGTGAAACCCCGTCTCTACAAAAACTACAAAAAATTAGCTGGGCATGGTGGCGCGTGCCTGTAATCCCAGCTACTCAGGAGGCTGAGGCAGGAGAATTGCCTGAACCCGGGAGGCGGAGGTTGCGGTGAGCCGATATCGCGCCATTGCACTCGGGCCTGGGTAACAAGAGCGAAACTCCGTCTCAAAAAAAAAAAAAAAAAAAAATACCTAATTAAGCTGGAAGCAAGGAAAGGCCTAGCATCCACAGCTGAGGTAGTACTTACATATGGGCTCTTAAGATCCTGAAGTTCTCCCTATAATATCCCTACCTTTGCTGTTCTAAAGCCTTCCAGGTATTACTGGCTACCACAAGACTTCAGAATAATTAATGAGGCCGTTATCTCTGTCCACTCATTGGTGGCAGATCCATATACTCTCCTGGTTCAGGTGCCAGGGGATGCTAAATGTTCTCAGTCCTAGACCTAAAAGATTTCTTTTCCACTTCTCTGGCCCCAGAATCCCAATACCTTTTTGCCTTTGAATGGGAAAATCCTAATACCAAAGAAAAACAACAATACATTTGGACAGTGCTCCCCCAGGGTTTTCAGGATAGCCCCCTTTTCTTTGCTTGAGCCTTAGAGTGGGATCTGAGAGGTTTGCAATTAAGGAATGGGAGTATATTCCAGTATACAGATGGCCTTCTTGTGGGTAGCCCAACCCTGGATGAAAATACTATAAAAGCTTTGAATTTCCTGGCAGACAAAGGTACAAAGTGTCCAAAAAGAAGATTCAGATTACCCTCCAACAGGTCCACGATCACATCCTTAGCAGCTAGCAGAGTCTGGCATCCAGAAGAAAATAAAAATCCATAGAATGACTGAATAAACAAGCTCACATCCATATAATGCCCACGAATCAGGGGCATGGAAAGGCCAGGATGAACTGTTCTCAGAAAACAGCACAGTGTAATAAAGGCAGCAAACATACCAGCATAAAGCAGCATCAGTGTCACCTACTCAGAATCTAATCTGACTACCTCCTATTTAAGGAGTACCTTTTATATGTCAAAACAACCAAAATAAAAGAGTCAAAAGTATTTGCAGCACATGTGAAAAGCAGAAAGTATCTTTTTCAATATTTTTAATACACAAAATATTAGTATATAAGTAGTATGGGAGGCTTTGGAGTCAAACACATCACGATTCAAACTCTGGCTTTGCTACTTACCAGACTTGGGCAAGTACTAACACTTCTGAGCCTCAACTTTCTCATCTTTAAAATGAGCATAATAATATCTAGCTCACAAGGTTACTGTGAAGATTATAAACTGATGTCTAACACAACACCTGGAAAAGAGCAGCTATGCAATAATGATAGATAGTATTGGTATTGATGGGAAAAATACTGAGTATACTTTTAAAAATAAGTAAAAATAAGTCAAGTTAACAAAAACATAAGAAAATATTCCTCAATGGAAATGAAACAAATAAAAAGTAAAACAAAGTACAGTTAGCACAAAATACCCAAGAATGTACATGCACACACTTGATTTTAGCATTAACATCCAATACTCACACTCTTATACATATCATGGGGTATAAACTGGAGTATAAATTTGAACTATGCATTAAAACATTCAGGACTCTATGCTAAAGAAATAATCTCAGATACATAAAAGCCATATACATGAAATGCTTATATCTACATTATTTATAAAATTGCAAAACTGTAACAACAAAAACATAATGGTAATTATTTAAAGGTTCCACTTCTTGAGCGAATGCTTGCTTCTCAGTTGTCAAACATTGTGATAAGTATATCACTAATATTGTTTTATGTAGCCCTCATAACAACCTTCTGAAGTAAGTATTATTTTTAACCCCTTACATATGAAGAACCTGAGGCGTACAGAGGATAACTCCAAAGTTACAGAAAGCCAAAACAAGATCAAGCTTAGGACAATCAGATTCCAGGGTCAAGATTTTAACTTGTAAAAGAATTGTAGCATCTTTACTCAACGGAACATTTCTTCTAAATTCTCAAGAACATTATAAAAACTACATTCTAGGAAAATGCTTCTGATTAAATAAGTTGTATTTGTATTAAAACTAAAAGTAGGAAAATACTAAATTGAAAGGAAATACCTGTAAGGATACACATCAAAACAAAATGAAAAAAAAAAAAGAGAAAGGATACACACCAAAATGTTAGCAATATTTACTATAGTGGGTGATTTTTTTTTACTTTTTCTCCATTATCCAAATTATCTGTAATATGCTTGTATTATTTTTATGATAGGAATAAGCTTATAAACATGGTATCATTTTACTTAGATTTTAGTAAATTTACAACTATGGAAAGGTGGATTAAGAAAACCTGCACTGTTTCTCAAGTATTAGGCCAAAATTTCCTTGCTTTGAAGACAGAATTGAGGGCTCATTTTGGTGGTGGGAAAAAAAAAACCCTACTATTAACCTTCATAGTACCTACTGTTAGATGAGACACCCTCCTAGTAAATCTACACACATTTTAGTACATTGTTTAGACTAGAAGCTCTGAAATCTCTGGAAGCTCTGGAAAGACCAATTAGATTCAAAAGCTGGAGCTTTGGAGCTACCACTAACTTATCTGTGTAATCTTGGACAAACTGTCTCAAGACTTCCATTAACCTAACTGCAAAACGGGAATAAAAACATTACTAACCTTTTAAGGTTGTTCTAAGCCTTAAATGAGATGATAAAACGTACACACAGTGCCTGGCCCTGGTAAGCACTCAATAAATCTTCATTCTTACCCACAAGGAAAGACATACTTCCAAAAATGTCAGCTCAAACATGTACGTGAGAAGTTATTAGACAAGGAAGCAATACATGTTTCCCTACAATTTCCTGATATTCTGATGAGAAACACTGGATCTTTAGAACATCACATGAAACTTGCAGAAATGGTAAAAATCATGTAATAGTCACACTATGAGGAGTTTGCCACATTCCCTCCTATGGCTTCCTTCTCCCATCACCTTCACCTACTTGGCTAAGTAGCAGCATACTGCAGGCACAAGCTCAGTATTAAGCTCAAGTGGAAAGACTGGATTCTTTCTTATCTGTAGGAAGAACCTGTTCTGTGACCTTGGGAAAATCAACTCAGTTACTTAGTCACAGCAGAAAAAAAAAAAAAAATATATATATATATATATATATGGATATATATGCTTTTTTTGTTTTGTTTTTTTCTGTAGATAAGAAGAAACCAAGGGACAAAGTAACTTGTGTCTGTGGATAAAAATGAACATGGAATCCTTACGATACATATATATCACCAAAGCTAGTGGCCCAGTCCCGAACAGGCTGGAACAACACCTAATGCCTGAGTTGGGAAAGCAAGGATGGAGGAGAAAGGAAGGGGGGCGTTCCCTGGGCACCACCCCTCCACCCTCAGGCCCTTCCAGACAGCAGCATGCCCTCTCACCCATCTCAAAGGTGCGGGGGAGCGGGGGCTGCGTCCCGAGGGCGGAACAGTGACAAAAATTAGAGCAAGAAGTGAATCACAGTTAGACCCTGGGGCAGGGAGGTTCTAGAGCGTAAGGCAGGATTAAGCTGGGATGCAAGGACTGCTGCCTGCCGGCCCCTGCCCCTCGCGAGCGTCTGCGAGCCTGGGAGTCTGGGCTGCAGCGAGACCCGGTGGGCAGTCCCTGGCTCACCGTACTCCCGGGGCTCCGGGTCCGGCTGGAAAGTGAAATGAGCCACCTGCCGCCTCTGGGCCGCATCCTCGCCAGTCACGGTGGGGTGCAGAAAGCCCCGCGCCAGGCCCGCGCCACAGAGCCGACGCCAGTGCCCCTCAGCCCCTGCCGCCCTGAGGCTGAACAGCCACCTGGCAGCCGAAGCCACAGCCGCCATCCCCGCTTGCCGCCGGGTTTCTTAAGCAATGCCGCGGCTGGCTGCCAGTGGGGAGGGCGGAGTACCCGAGACGGCTTCCACATTGGTCGGGCCAGAGGGGCGTTCCCGTGAAATGGACCAACCGGAACTGGAAATTCCGGGGCGGGGAAGTCGACGTGACTAGGTGGCCGGCTTCTGCTCCTTGTGCGCATGCGGAAAACGGGCTTGAGGCGACGGAGGTGGAGCCAAGGAAATAGTTTCTGGGGTGGAGCCTCCCCGACGCCAGCTGTGCTGGCCTGGCTTGAGGACCCGAGTCTGCAAAGTTCCACACAGTGCCTGGAAGCGATCTTTTCCGGTGTCATCTACAGTGCCATTTCCAATGGTTGTTTTCATTTTAAGATCCATACTTTTTTTTTTTAATGTAACCCTTTTTTCTCCTCTCCTATTCTGTCTCTATTATTGTGTGAAAGCTGAAGAAAGGTACTGATTGGCATTGGTTATTGGTTTTGACTTTCAGAAAACTGCTGGAGTCACTGCTCAAAGCCTCCACTCCTTATTCACACCCTCCTTGAAATGCTTAATAAGCATATATCAATTTTTTTTTTTTTTTTTTTTTTTTTTATATATAAATATATCAATTTTTTTTTTTTTTTTTTTTTGACGGAGTTTCGCTCTCGTTACCCAGGCTGGAGTGCAATGGCGCGATCTCGGCTCACCGCAACCTCCGCCTCCTGGGTTCAGGCAATTCTCCTGCCTCAGCCTCCTGAGTAGCTGGGATTACAGGCATGCGCCACCATGCCCAGCTAATGTTTTGTATTTTTAGTAGAGACGGGGTTTCACCGTGTTGACCAGGATGGTCTCGATCTCTTGACCTCGTGATCCACCCGCCTCGGCCTCCCAAAGTGCTGGGATTACAGGCTTGAGCCACCGCGCCCGGCCTACATATATCAATTTTTATTGATTTTGTTTTTCCAAATTTAAATGAGAGATGAAAGAGGTAAACTTAGATTTCATCCCTCAAATCTGAAGGATGAATAGCAATTCAGATACATTTTGCCCAGAAGTAGAGAAAATTACAAGACTGGCTAGCATTGAAACTTGGAGAATTTAAGCCACTAATTTTTATTTATACTAATCAACTATGTAAATTTGTTTTAATCGAAGCATTTTACCAGGATACCTTCTCTATGAATTTACCAAAAAAAACATGTAAAATATGAAATATTATAAAATCAAAAATGACAAGAGGCTATCGTGACTGTGTACGTTAGATGAAAATGAGTCGGTGGGGAAGGATGGGCCCAAAACAGGATTTGAAGAAGAAAGGGAGGAAAAGAACATTCCTCTTCCATTATGCCTGGCCTCTAACCCATCTTTGGTTTTGCACAGGGGCAAGAGAGGAGACAGTGGAAACTGGTGAAAGGGAAGGCAGACAGATGCGTTTTCTGACTGAGATTGAGAAACAGCAATTAAAAACTGCTGTAAGGGAGAACCAGAATTACATCTCCATTTTTCCTACTCCCACGCTAAGTCCAAAATTTAGCATTTGGGAAATTTTTCATCTTGGCTTTTGTTAGTATTCACTTCTGCTGTTTTAATAGTGTGGGTTAGTGTGTTTTGCAAGCTCATGAAGAGTATTTTTGTTTTAATGAAAGAAAGCGGTAACAAAATGAAATTACACTTACATAGTCAAATTTGTGTTTAAAATAAAGAGAGTAAAGAACAAGGTTAAAAATGAATAGAGCTTTTTTTTCTACTTAGTTAACGGACCTGGGGGTGCTGAGATTACTTAGGTCTGGGAGAAAAACAGAAAAATAGTATAATAACTGATGGGAATCTTATTGAACTCTGCTATATACAAGCCAGTGACAAGCCACCATTAAGACAAATAAGATTAAGTCATAGTTTTACTTTTAAAATGTCCAAGTTGGTAGAAAAAAAAGACAGATTAGACAACTACAGTCCAGTGTGTTAGGGGTCCTAGAATAGTGCAAACAAAATGAAACACAAAAAGAGCAATAAACTCTTCTTTGAAAGTCAAGTGTTTCCAGAAATAACACTGAGCCAGACCTAAAAGATGACTAGAAATTGCCAGGCAGACTAGGGAGGAAAAGGAATTCCAAACTAAGAAAAAAATCTGTGAAAAGGGTGATAGGCATGAAGAGCACAGTGCTTTCCAGGAAGAGAAGGTAGCTTGCTGCTTCTAGATTCAGGAATAGGTAATAATACAGGGTTAACAGAGAAAGTAGAAAAAACAGATTAAAGGGAGATTTTGAAGGTTTTGTATGCTGGTCTAAGAGGTGCGAACTGCCAACTACATGTAGCCAGGAGCAACAAAGATAGCATCTGCCAGATTCACCTACTTTGCAAACTACATTTTTTTTAATTTTCCCCATCTCTACCACACCAATCGCCTGATAACAATGAAAAATGGTATTCGAATGGGACTTTCCTCCATTCTTCCAGCCCTGGCTGCATTTACGTGATTTGGTAAAATGTCCTTTTCTGGAAATTTCAGAAGTCTAATTTAGAAAGAAAGACCAGGCAATCTTTAAATGCCACTAGGAAATGCAAAAAAAAAAAAAAAAAAAAAGGGAGTTTCAGTAATTTTGTGAACCAGAAAATATGAAGAGTGTGATTACATTTGAGTTCTTGATTCCATTTATTCCCAAGTCCTAACAGCTTTCTGGTCCTGGGGTTCTATGAGACATCACCATTTCCTTAAAATGTATTCCCCTCTTTGCTTGAGCTTTTTTTTTTTTTTTACATTGGTCCTAAATCTTTAATTTGAATGTCATTATATAGAGTATTTAAATAATAGGTAATTAAAATGACAGTGTTAATGTCAACGTCAACTTATAAGGTCTTGTATAAGACAAAATTTTTAGTATTTAAAAAATATTTGTCTTAAAATTTTTTTTAATTTATTTATTTTACTTTAGGTGTATACTGTATCTGGCATTTTTCCTCATGTTATCCCTCCACTCCCTCCCCATCCCCTGCTGTCTCTCCCCTACCCCCCCTCAACTGCCCCCAGTGTGTGATGCTTCTCTCCCTGAGTTCACGTGTTCCTGTTGTTCAACACCCACCTATAAGTGAGAACATACGGTGTTTGGCTTTCTGTTCTTGTGTCAGTTTGTTGAGAATGATGTTTTACAGATTCATCCAAGTCCCTACAAAGGACATGAACTCATCATTCTTTATGGCTGTGTAGTATTCCATGGTGTTTATGTATCACATTTTCTTTGTCCAGTCTATCATTGATGGGCATTTGGACTGGTTCCAGGTCTTTGCTATTGTACACAGGGCTGCAATGAACATATGTGTGCATGTGTCTTTATAGTAGAACGATTTATACTTCTTTGGGTATATACCTAGTAATGGGATTGCCAGGTCAAATGGAATTTCAATTTCTAGCTCCTTGAGAAATCACCACACTGCCTTTCACAATGTTTGAACTAATTTACAGTCCCACCAACTGTGCAGGAGTGTTCCTATTTCTCCACACCCTCTCCAGCATCTGTTGTCTCCAGATTTTTTAATGATTGCCATTCTAACTGGCATGAGATGATATCTCAGTGTGATTTTGATATGCATTTCTGTAATGACCAGTGATGATGAGCATTTTTTCATATGTTTTTTGGCCTCATATATGTCTTCTTTTGAAAAGTGTCTGTTCATATCCTTTGCTCACTTTTGAATGGGGTTCTTTGTTTTTTTTTCTTGTAAATTTGTTTTAGTTCATTGTAGATTCTGGTTATTAGCCCTTTGTCAGATGAGTAGATTGCAAAAATTTTTTCCCATCCTGTTGCTTGCCAATTCACTCTAATGATGGTTTCTTTAGCTGTACAGAGCTCTGGAGTTTAATTAGATTCCATGTGTCTATCTTGGCTTTTATTGCCATTGTTTGTGGTGTTCTAATCATGAAGTTCTTGCCTATGCCTATGTCCTGAATGGTTTTGCCTAGGTTTTTTTCTAGTGTTTTTATGGTGTTAGGTTTTATGTTTAAATTTTTAATCCATCTGGAGTTAATTTTAGTGTAAGGTGACAGGTAGGGGTCCAGTTTCTGCTTTCCGCACATTGCTAGCCAGTTTTCCCAACATCATTTATTAAACAGGGACTCCTTTCCCCATTGCTTGTTTCTGCCAGGTTTGTCAAAGATCAGATGGTTGTAGATGTGTGGTGTTTCTTCTGGGGTCTCTGTTCTGTTCCATTGGTCTATGTCTCTGTTTTGGTACCAGTACCATGCTGTTTTGATTACTGTCGCCTTGTAGTATAGTTTGAAGTCTGGCAGTGTGATGCCTCCGTCATTGTTCTTTCTGCTAAGGATTGTCTTGGCTATGCGGGCTCTCTTTTTGTTCCATATGAATTTTAAAGTGGTTTTTTCCAGTTCTGTGAAGAAGATCATTGGTAGCTTGATGGGGATAGCATTGAATCTATAGATTACTTTGGGCAGTATGGCCATTTTCACAATATTAATTCTTCCTAACCATGAGCATGGAATGTTTTTCCATCTGTTTGTGTCCTCTCTTATTTCATTGAACAGTGGTTTGTAGTTCTCCTTGAAGAGGTCCTTTACATCCTTTGTTAGTTTTATTCCTAGGTATTTTATTCTCTTTGTAGCAATTGTGAATGGCAGCTTATTTCTGATTTGGCTCTCTTTAAGTCTGTTATTGATGTATAGGCATGCTTGTAATTTTTGCACATTGATTTTGTATCCTGAGATTTTGCTGAAGTTGCTTATCAGCTTGAGAAGGTTTTGGGCTGAGATGATGGGGTCTTCTAGACATAAAATCATGTCACCTGCAAATAGAGACAGTTCGACTTCCTCCTTTCCTAATTGAGTACCCTTTATTTATTTTTCTTGTCTGATTGCTCTGGCTAGAACTTCCAATACTATATTGAATAGGAGCGGTGAGAGAGGGCATCCTTGTCTACTGCCTGATTTCAAAGGGAATTCTTCCAGCTTTTGTCCATTCAGTATGATATTGGCTGTAGGTTTGTCATATATAGCTTTTATCATTTTATTATATGTTCTGTCAACACCTAGTTTATTGAGAGTTTTTAGCATTAAGGGCTGCTGAATTTTATCAAAGGCCT